GCTTTTGCACAGCAAAGGAAACCATCAACAAACCAGAAAGGCAATATACTGAATGGGAGAAGATATTTGCAAATGATATGACCAAAATGAGGTTAATATCTAAATTATACGAAGAACTTAATACAATTCAACACTAAAAAAAAAAAAAAAAAACTCATTAAAAGTAGGCAGAGGACCTGACTAGAAATTTTTCCAGAAACATACAGAGGGCCTACAGATACATGAATAGATGCTCAACATCAATAATCATCAGGGAAAGACAAATCAAAACTACAATGAAATATTGTCTCACACCAGTCTTAACGGCTAGTAAAAAGACAAGAAACAACAAGTGTTGATGAGGATGTGGAGAAAAGGGAACCCTTGTGCACTGTTGGTGGGAATGTAAATTGGTGCAACCAATGTGGAAAACTGTATGGAGATTACTCAAATAATTAAAAATAGACCATGATATGATCCAGTTATCCTACTAGGTATTTACCTCAAGAAAATGAAAACACCAATTTGGAAAGATATATGCACCCTCATGTTTACTGCAGCATTTATAATAACCAAGATATGTTAGCAACCCAAGTATCCATTGATAGATGGATAAATAAAGAAGATGTGGTAGATAGATACATAGATAGATATGAATATGTATATGTGAATATTAGTAAAAAAGAATGAAATCTTGCCACTTGCAACAACATGGATGGGCGTGAAGAGTATTACGTTAAGTGAAATAAGTCAAAGACAAATACCATATGATTTCACTTACATGTGGAATCCAAAAAACAAAACAAACAAAAAGCAGAAATACATTCATAAATACAGAGAACAAACTGGTGGTTACCAGAGGGGAGGGAGGTGGGGGTTCAGCTCAAATAGGTGAAGGGGATTATGTGGTAGAAACTCCCAGTTATAAAATAAATAAGTCATGGAGCTGAAAGTTACAGCAAAGAGAATAGTCTTTGCTGTAATATTTTAACAATGTTTTTAAAAACCTACATAAAAAATGTTTATAGAAGCAATCTCAGGTTTTTCATTTAATTTTTGAGAAGACTATTCAGAATCTCATACAAATTCAATATTTAATATCATCCTTAATGTTTCTTTTTCTCACTATATTATATAAAATTTTTTTTTCACCAAGCCCCATACAATTGCCTCCAAATCCTCTTTAATTTATCCCAATGTACTATACAAATATCATCATCTCTATGGATGTCATGATGCAAAAAAAGGTTGAGAAGAACTGCTTTAGCCCCAGATCAGGATTCCTCTCTTTTTTTTTTTGACATTTTTATTCTTTTAAACATTTTTAAATTTTAAATTCAACTAATTAATATATAATGTATTATTGGTTTCAGAAGTACAGCCCTGTGATTCATCAATCTCATATAATACCCAGTGCTCATTATATCACATGCCCTCTTTAAAGTCCATCACCAAGTTACCCCATTCCTCCATCCCTCTCCCCTCCAGCAACCTTCAGTTTGTTTCCCATGATTAAGAGTCTCTTATGGTTTGTCTCCCTCTCTGGTTTCGTCTTGTTTTATTTTTTCTTTTTTTCCCCTATGAGTCTCTGTTTTGTTTCTTACATTTCACGTATCAGTGAGACTATACGATAATTGTCTCTCTGATTGATTTATACCACTTAGCATAATACCCTCTAGTTCCATCCACGTTGTTGCAAACCAGATCACAATTCTTAACCAGAGGCCTCTCAATGGATTTCAGTGAGTGTGTGAAATGTGCAAGTATATCTTTTTGGAGAGAGAGTTAATAGTTTTCACCAAGTTCTCAAAGCTTAAGAACCAACTGATCTCAAGAATTTCAAAAGTTTCTCTATAATTTCACCCCTGAAGGAGTGAAGATACAAGTCAAGGGTTAAAGGAATTGCAATAGGACAAGTAGGCCTCCATTATCAGAGGTGGGAAGAATAAAGGTACTATAAATAGAACTAGGAGGACTTCTGTCTCTGGCTCCTTCTTTTGGGAATCCTGCTCTTGGTCTCTCTCTCTTCTCAAGTTTAACTAATAAACTAAGAGAATTCTAGGTTTTTTTTCTCTATTAGAAGTAGATACTTCCTCCTTCACATCACCAGAAGACCAAGTAGGAACCAGGGTGGAGCCTAGGGAAGAATAGGTATAAATGAGGCAGAGAGCATAGATTTCAAATGTTCACATGTGATCTAGCTCTGCAATTAAAGCCTGAAAGCCAGTATCATAAAATGCGCATTTACCCAGACCTCTTCCTCTGTGTTTTGAAAGAATTTTGTACATATTTAGGCTTCTCCTATATATGTAACCTTCTTGGGGGCCTATCAAAGGTGACTCAAACCACAGTACCACTTTTCCTTGCTAATAGGCTTTGAGCTAGTGAAAGATAGACTTTTATTTTGTTCTTAAAATATAATACATACTCAATATTTTCTCAATTAATGGTGACAAATGAACATAAATCAAGATTTCCAAATCTAAGCTCCCTCAAATGGTTATATACCAGGAAGAGCTATTCCCTTTGTAAATTATAAATTAACTTCCTAATACAAATAAGTTTAATGTGAATCTGGGTACTTTGTAATTCCAATGTTTTAAAAGATTTTATTTATTTATTTGAAAGAATGATAGTGAGAGAGCACATGAGCAGAAACAGACATCCCTGGTGAGCTGGGACCTTGGACCCTGGGATCATGCATGACCTGAGCCCAAGGCAAGTCGCTTAACCCACTGAGCCACCCAGGTGCCCCTAATTCCAATTTCTTTAATAATCCTAATTTTGACCAGGATTTTATCACCTCAGATATGTCCAACAAAGATCTATTATATCTGCCTACAGATGAGACTTATCTTCACTGCACATCTACTTCTCTTACTATTAAGAAAATCATGTGTCATGTCCTTTTAAGTCATTTTTATTCCCTTTTTGCTTGATGCTATTTTCTACACATAGGGTACGCTCAAAGAAAGCTGACCGAACTTGGAACAAACTAGAGAATAATAAAGTTATCTTAACTACATACAGGGCTTTATAGTTTATCTTGTACTTTACCATGCATTATCTCATTTGATCACAGGAATCCTGTGAGTTAGTGAGCCACTGTAGAAACCAATGCTCAAAAAGTTTAACCAATTTGCCTAAAGTTTCACAGAACTGGAGTTAGAAACCAAGTCTTCGGACTCCTATAGCAGTGATCTTTTCCATTGTAAGATTAATGGAATTAAGTCATCTGTCAAAAGAATTTCTTAATATTATGTTGCTACACAAAACTAGATAATCAGTGTCGCTATCCCTGAGTTACTAAGAAAAGTAACATACTAGTACATTAGTAAGACCTGTTGATTTGAATAATACTTTTTCTAGAATACTTTGATTTCTTAACCATGTTTGTTTCATTTATCTGAATTCATTCAGCTTTCAGCTATGTATATTTCTTAGCTATGCATATAACTTCCTGTTTCGTCTTCTAAGCATTGGTTCAAAGTTCTTATTTCTGAACTTTGTCTTTTCTTTTCCTGTTTACTACGCAGCTCCAGGAAAGAAAAAAAAAAAACAAAAACAAAAACACAGATTGTTTAATCTGTGAACCATACATCTTTGTTTAATTTTGTCTCGCAGGCACTCTTGACCACCACCAGGGGGCAAAAGCCTACCAGCTGGCTTCTCTGCGATTCATTCTACACAGGACTGTACAGTACAGGGACCCTCAGTGTCTGATTCTTGATGGAACCTCCCTGCTAATTATTTCAACCGCAGGGCCCCAGGGAGAGAACAAAGGCTCAGCACAGAGGGCTCTAGTGGCACTTAACCATACAGCAGCCAGAAAGAGCTTATGACAGCCCTGTCAGTTGAAAGAAAGCAATGAGATCCAAGGGAGTTTGAGTGACAACAGGAGGAGGCTTTAATAACTGCAAACTCCTTAATGTGTGTGTTTTCTACAGCTTTGAGATGCATGGTGGTATCTTCCAGAACATCCACTCCAATTGAGAAATAGCTTTGTCAACTCTTTCTCTGTGTAAATAATCAGTGGTATTTGCATAGTGAGATTCCCCCCCACCCTTAATCTTGATTTTCCATTACTTTCTTGGTTTATAGTCTGCTGACGGTTTATCTTTCAGAAAAGTATTCCTTTAAAATATTTAATAATCTACATTTCACATATGTCTTGCAATCATGAAATCTAGAGCCGAAGGAGAAAAAAATCTCAAGGAGCAAAACCTATTTAAGAGAATTTCTTCCCAGCGGAAAGCAAGTGGGAGGTAAACAGCAGGTTGGACCCTTTTAACTCCGTGAGCCCAGCCTTCTTGGCCTCCCGGGCTGATGCAGCCTCTCTCCACCTTAGGAATAATGAATGAGTCCTTAGAGGCCAGGGTAATAGAGGAAGCGTGAGGGGTACCCTGAAGCTTGCCAGGGTATAAAATTAAAAACCTTTCTTTCTTTCACAAAGTCTCATCATGAAACATGGGCTCTGAGACAGAGGGTGGTAAAGCTCAGAAAAAGCCCCCGAGAACCGGGCCAAAAGGGGATAAACTCGTCTCTGGTCGCGCCAGGAGGGTCTCCAGTCCATTAAGTCTCACTCCGGCCCAGAGAAAGCCTTTGAAACCCGTCGGAGCCCTTTTCCACCAGACAACATGTTTGCCTCAGGATTTTCACCTCAGTTTCCTTTCACTAAGATCGGTTAAGCTGTGCGCCCCCATCTCATAAAATGGTCGTCTCTCAGCAGTGGGGATTCCAGAGCTCTCCCCTCTCCCCGGCCCGGGGCCCCTCCCCCCAGCCCACCTCCCTGCCTCTCGACGCGTGCAAACCGCGCGATTCCAGGGCAAAGGAGGAAACCCGGGAAGGGGCGGCGGCCGGAGACGCAAACACTCAGCCGGCTTCCGGCAACTCAAGGGTTACGGCGAGGCGGCGGCGCGCGCCGAGGGGAGAGGCGGTTGCTGACAGGTGGCGCCTGCGCACTGGGAGCGCTCATTGTGCCCCGCTGCTGCCGAACCGCCCGCCTGCCCGCCCGCCGCCCGTTCCTCGCGTCAGTAGGCAAGAGTCCGGTGTTGGGTGCGGAGCCTGCGGCCGTTCCCGCGGCCTCCTCCTCCTCCCCGTTCCCCTCACCCCCATCCCATACCCCTTTCCCCATCCCGGCTCCGTCACCCTCCCGCCCCCCACACTCAGGACAAGAATGCCCTGCCCGGAACAACCTAGCAGCGCCTAGATGGCTTTGGTCACGGTCCAGCGGTCGCCTACCCCCAGCACCACCTCCAGCCCCTGCGCCTCGGTGAGTCCCACCCGGCGGCCGCTCCGCTCGCTTCTGTCACTGCGGCTCCGCTTTGCCTCAGCGGGTCCCGCCGAGCGCCACTGCGCACGCGCCGCGCCGCTTCCCAGGCCTTGGCACTCGGCTGCCGCGAAACCCCCACACACCCCATCTTAAAGACGAGCTACGGGAACTACGGGACGTTGGGGTTTGCCCGCATCACTGGGGGCACCTGGCTCTCCCAGTCCTCGCCCCGAACCCCCCCGCGGCATGCTTTCCTATGGCTTGAACACTTCCTTTCGGGAATGAGTCATTCTTGCTTTTCACCCTCCCCCTTCCTTGTACCCTCTGTTGCTCTGCTGCAGGGAGAGGACCATGGGACTCCTGCGTTGCCCCTTACACACACCACAGCCGTTTTCCCACACCCATATCTTGGACCCGTTCGGTATTCGCACACTGGAGCCCCTTCTTCAGGCTCTCCGCGGTGTGTGCCTTCCCTCTAGTCACTTGCCGTCCTTCTTGTGCTCTGGTACTGTTCGGGCTTCATTGGACTGCTAAGCTGGTAGTTACTCCTTGGTTTCTTCCCTCTTTCCCTCCCGCAGAGGATGGCCTTGGTCTCTGCTTCTTGGATATCTTACCTTTCCTCTAAGAGGTTCTGAAGCATCTGGCGCTGCTTGATGACCAGTGCCAATCCATTTACATCTTACAGACATTAATGCCTTACACTCATTGCTCATGATCGTTCTTGTTCTTGGATCGTGTTTGTATGGTTCCTTACTTCAGATACCTATAACAGTGAAGCATGCTTCCAGAAGGAAAATACCCATTCTTTGACTTCCCTGCTAGCCCCACCTCCATTCCTTTACACCCCATTCTTTTAGGCTTCATTCTTGAATATATTTATTAAAAAAATATTAAAAATAAATACGTAAAACATTGCACCGTGGGGCGAGGTGGGATCTTGTAAAAACACGCAGATGTTTTAGAAGGAAATAGAATGAAAATATGAACAATTGAAAAAACCGTCTTGAACTTCCTACAGAATTATAATTTTTAAAACTGTGTTGGTGGATTTAGTAGTTTCAGTTGCCCAGAGGTATTCGGTGAACACTGTAAACATCAGGTTTCACTGTAAAACATCAGGTTATTCTTAGTATTTGTATGTCTACTGAGGCATGGGGTTTGATATCTCGAAAATATGGTGGCTTGTGATTTCAACATAGTTTGATGAATTTCAAAATTTTGTCGTGTCCTGAGCTTTCTTCTGCATTTTGTGTGACCAAATTGACAATTATATCCTAATTCTAGAATTGATTGTATTTCAGAAATTAACTTATATTGTTCCAGAGAGCAGAACTATGATCTTTGGGTAAAAGTTCAGGGAGGCAGATTTCCAATGATTGTAAAGAAGAATTTTGTAACAGTGAAGTGGACTGCCTTGCAAAAAATAGTGAGTGTCCATTGCTTAAAGTATTCAAAGAAGGGCTTTTTGCCTGGAATTTAGTATAAAGAATTCCTTATGTGGGGGACTTCTAAGGCTTTTTCCAACTCTTAAGATTTTGAGATTTGAGAATAGTTGCCCTTCAAAGGTGGTAAAATGTTTTAGGGTCTTCTGAAGATAAGTGTGATATGGATAGAAACTTAATAAACTAATTTTTATGTTGTATTTAATGCTAGTTCTTGGAAAGTTAACATTCCATCAAACCACCTTACTTCTTTCTACTGATAAACCATTTGAGGATAGTGGTCACCAGACCTGATTTTGGCTGAGAATGCAACTATACTAAGTTTCTTGAGTTGAATGATTAGTATACAGTAAGGCTGTATCTACTTGATATGATTTACTTAGCCAGACCTTAGTTATTAGAATATTGAGGTATGTTAATAGCCACTTTTGAGATAGGTAATTAAATTGATCATGTGGTAAGCTCAGTTGTTGAGCTAACTGATTGATATTTCTACAGGTACTTGCTATAGTAGCCTGGTTATTTCAGTTGTTTATATGTGGCCCTGGGTGTAAAGGAATCCTGGGACTGGTGTGTGTATGGGTGTGGGTGTGGGTGTGTGTGTTTGTATGACTGATGAGCCAGTTACCTTTCCCCTTAAGTTGTCTTCCTATTTCACTTCATTCAGAGCTATGTTCAACTGAGTTGTCTTGTGGTTCTTGTGTTCCAATATTTGTATGCTGTCTGACCAGCATATATTTGCTATTGTATCTCTTGTTGCATGAATAGGTTGAGTTGTTTGTTTTAAAGGTAAAAGAGAGAAAACAACAAAGAAAAAGTCTAGAGGATCATGAAAGGAGAGATTTAATTTTGTGAGACTGGAAATTTAGATTTTTTTTAATTAATAACTTAAAGCATTTTATTTTACTTTTTCACTATAGGTGTATAGGGCATTTTAATACTGTCAGCTTTTCAATATTCATTCACTGGGGATTAAACAAATATATTGATCATTTACTGGGTATGAGTGATTATTACAGATAGTAAGATGTATAAGACATCAATCCCGTGTATCGGTATCATGTAATCTTGGGAAGGGATGGGAAGAAGAACAAATGTGAGATGAGAGGGTAGAAAAAGAGAGTGAGGGAAATGATACTGTATGTACATGAACACTTAGTTTGTTTGTAATGGCCATAAATATTGCTGAATTCAAATTAAGATAAATTCACTAATGGCAAGAGTAATAATAACAATATCTAACATTTATTTCTTGGGTTTTCATCTGTGCTAGGTGTCATGCCAAATGCTTTACATGGCATTTACTCCTCACATTATGTCCAAAGGAAATTGCTATTATCCCTGCCTTACAGATGAAGAAACTGAGGCAAAGAGCTATTAAGGAATGTGCCCAGTGTCACTCAGCTGTTGAAAATGTATTTAACTTTAGGATCTTCCATCTTTTCCTTTGTGGTAATCAAAGAGAAGTACATATAGTAGGTGGACAAGATTCAAACTCAGCCTTGAAGTATGGGTACAGGAGTAGGGCCTGAGAAATAAAGAGTATTTCAGGTGGAGAGAAGTTGTATTACCAAAACTTATAGGCCAGAAAGCACAAGACATATCTGAAGGACTTAACTAAACCAGTTTGAGGAAGGATCTCTTTGGAAGAGTAGTAAGAGATAAAGGTGAAGAGGAAGCTGGGACTACACAGGGACTGCTGAGTTTAGGAGTTCGAACTTGATAGGGAAGGTAATGGAGAGTCTCAAGAGGTTTTTGAGCAGATATTATCACAGTGATGTTTTAAGAAAATTGATCTGGGAGCTCTTGGCCATAGGGATTTGAGAGAGGTGGAGGGAGGCCATGAGTGGAGCCAGTTAGAGGCCATTATGGAAGCCCAGGTGTGAGATAATAAAGGCCTAAACTGGGGATATGAAGTGGTAATGGAAAGAGGGAAAGATGTGAGGGATTATGGAGAAGACACAAAGGACCTGGGAACTGGTTGGATATAGGGGAGGAGAAATCAGAGATGCCAACTTTGGAAGGTATTGTTCTTCTAAGATAATAGATGTTTCTTAGTTAATAGGCAATTTAAGAATTATCTTTTTCCTTCTGTTATGACTTTTCTGAATGGATACCTTTGTCGATCCATGGTCATATAAATACATTGAAATAACAAGGAAATATTTTACTTTTCTGTAATGCTTTGTATTTTTCAGAATGTTTTTGTGTTTGTGTTCTAATTTAACTCTAGGGCAGCCTCATGAGTTATGTAGGAGAGGTACCAAGGTTAAAAGACTTGCTGAAGGTCACCAAACTGGTTAGTGTAAGAACCTACACTAGAACTAAGTTCCTTGGCTCCTGGTCCATATCTCTTTCCATAATGTGAAACAGCATATGAGTTTCTGATCCTGAGAACTGATCCTGAGAACTGCCCATAGAGTAAAAGAACCAAGACTTGAGATATAATCAAGAACTCATACTCTTTGAAGTTAATGTATATTGTAACCTTAACTAGAACAGAATCATCTAGATCTGTGCAGATCGTTTTTAGGTGATAGCCTTATTTGAAGCCTGTTATCTCTCAGTTTATACATAATTCTTAAAACTTGGATATTTAATTTTTCTTACTCTAAGAATATAATCAACAGCAAAATAGGAATGGAAAGTGTGGCAGGTGCTGCTAAAGACAGGCTGCTTTCAATTCTGGGAAATGATAGCTGATGGTTTTATAGCAAGGGAGGAAGAAGAAGATTTATAAATAGCTGGCATAAGAAAAATTTAGCAGTTATGGTAACATACTACTTAATGTAAGGATCAATCTCTCTCTCAAACCCGGTGGTCCCTCAGAGCTACTATTATCTGGTCATAATGATCACCCTGAATAATCATAATATGGCTTCATCTTGTTTTGTCTTCTTTTTAAGCAGTCAGGATTGAGTGAATTGTATTTTAAGATAGAAATCCATCCAAGTTTCATGGAAGTTTTGAGGTGTATGATGCACAATTTAATTAACTTTGGAAATGGAAATTCATTTCCATATATGATTCTGGATAAATAAGATACTATTGAATTATATATGTATTTTATATATATTCAAATATGACCACACCTTTCTCTCAGAGAAAATAAAACCATAGCAAATATGCAATTGATTTGTCTGAAGTATAAATACTTAAAAGCGATGCTTTTTAATTTTTTGAAGACAGCTTTAGAACTTTCTTACACTACAGAAATAATACATGGTCATTGTAGGAAATTTTGGAAAATACGGAAAAGCACAGACAAGAGAATGAAAGATATATGCTCTACAATTGCATGTATATTTTACATAGCTGAAATGCTGCTATCTATATAATTTTGTATATTTGGTTCTTTTAAAGTTACTACATATCATAAATATATATCTATGTGCCATAGCACTTAAATGGCTACATAGAGCACTTATAACTCATCCTAACCATCCCATTATGGTTGAACATCTGGGTTTTTTCCAACTTTTTTTTTTTTTTTTTGCTATTATAAATCACATTGCAGTGAACATCATTGGGCATAAATATTTGACTATATTTTGGAAC